TCAAATTTCTCAGCTTCATGGTTGTACCATACTTTCCTAACTTTTGATGCTCCATTTGTGTAGTTAATGCATACAAGCTCCACTAATTTGATGTGTCTTCCAACAGAAGATGTCAGAGTGTTTTCATGGGGCCGTGCTGACTATGGTCAGTTAGGTTTGGGTGATGAGGTTGTACAACTCAGCTTTTGTAGTGAACCAGCAGAGGTTGTGCTTGTCAGAGGAGCTAATCAGGTATGCATTTTTAATGGTTGACAAACCTTCAAAATTATAGTTTTTCATAGATTCTCAACCAGTATATAGCAAAATGAAGTACTTAAATTGCTGTATCCAACAAAGGCTCACAATTTAAAGGGTGACAAAATGGCCTTATTCTCTCTTTGAGAGCAAAAGTTAAGTGTATTTACTTAAGGACAAAGACAGACAGATAAACAGAAAAATAGAAAATAGGTTTACTAACCTTTAAAAAGTGTGAATTATGCATTTATGGTTTCTAAGTCAGAAGAATACAAAGCTCTACTGTAACAACTGTGAGTGTCCTGATTGCCCTATATGGTTAATATGTTACTTTTAGGTTTTGTGTGGTGCTGAACACAACATGGCTCTGTTAGGTCAGTAACAAACTAATATAATATCTCTACATTTTTTCTGACTGAGCCAAAGTTGTCAAAGTCTGGCTCTATTTATAAAAAAAGTTATACTACCTGGATACTAAGGATAAATTCTTTCTTTGGAGAGAGTGGTATTACCTGACTTTCAAATCATTGTTGTGTGATCCACTAGTAAGTAAGTAAGTAAGTAAGGAAACACTTTATTTATAGAGGGTATCACTAAATAGCTAAAAGCTAATGAACTTGGGGCCCTCAATTGAAAATAAGAGTAATTGTTAAGCTAAATAGTAAAATGATTTAGACACAGTTCTTTAAAAATTACATTAAAAAGACTTCTTAAATGCAGGAAGAGAATCTTTACGTCTTAATTCTAAAGATAATTTATTCCATAGTCTGCAAGCTCTGATTAAGAAAGACTTTCCACCATCTGTCTCGCGTATTAACTTAGGACAAACTAAATTAAATTTAGCGTACCTAGTATTTTTAGAGGGGACTTGATTATTAATGGACTCGATTATTATGACTGATTTTGTGGGGAGGCATAGTATGTAATCTTTGGTACTGTATTAGTGTCAATGATATGATTCACAGACCAAAAATTGAATTGTCTCAATTTGGGTACAAACATTTAATTCTTCTGTTGTCAGATTCTGGTTCAATCAGGACTTGGGGTTGGAATGAACATGGAATTTGTGGAAGAGAGAATGAAACTAGAAATATTCATCAACCGAGTGTGGTTTATTAGCTGCATGATTATATCAGCTCTTTGATCGGATGTGGAGGAGGACACAGTTTTGCTGTTGTTAAGGGATAGCAATTTACCCACAGCTGAGAAGAAATGTGTGGTCATTCAAGTTGTTGAGCATAGTCTGGAAGATATGGTGTCCAGTACCTGGTATAGCAATGGCTAGAGGTTGATTTGGTGGATTGGATTCCTGCTGGTTGGAAGCACAAAGTATAGGACCGATTCTGTCTGTCAGTCAGTCTTTTTCTTGCGAGCAGGGTAAAGCT